CTCGGCAACATTTCATTAGGTTGTCACGACCACTCAGGTGGCAAGTGGTTGCCTCCACTAATTGCTATTCCGCGAGTCGCCCTCTGACGCATCCTCCAAAACAAAGCGCCCCCGAGCGAGCCCGAAAACGGAGCCCGAAAACGGAGCCCGAAAATGGGGGCAACGTTCGCGCGGCCCAGGAGCCGAAACATTCCGTTTCACGCGAGGCAAGCGTTTCCGTGTTTCTCGCAACATTAGCTGATCCATTCAAACGTATTACTTTAATACCATGTAAATTTCATCCCAATTGTGTACAATAATATGAAGACGTAAGAAAATATCGTAAAGTGGCGGTGCGACATGTGACGTCTGGAGAGCGGCAGGGCGGCAGGGCGGCAGGGCCTGCCCGGCAGGCAGGTGTAGGCAGGTGCGCGGGGCGTGTATGTTTCCGGGGCCAATTGAATCCCTGATGTTGCCGCTACATTATGCAGCAGCACGTCGTCTACTTGGCCAGGCGAAGCCGCTTTTCCAGGCACTTTCCAGGCGCCTCCTGCCGCTTTTCCAGTCACTTCCCTGTCGCTTTTCCAGCCACTTGGTCAAAGAGTGACTGAATCTCCGAAAGTAGCCGTTTTCGCTGACTTTGGGAGGCCACTGCGTCCGATCTAGTTGCGGCCAACGGCCTACCTCGACGCCCTAGTATTCTTAAGACCCTACTCTCTCATGCCCTGTATCGGGAAGATGTTGACCACAACGATTTTGGCTTTGACCGCAACGATTTTCCGACCAACTTGGTCAAAAAGTGGTCGAATCTAGGAAATTTGCTGATTTTGCTGACTTTGGGTGGCCACTGTGTCCAATCTAGTCGCCTTAAAAGGCCTCCCTCGACGTCCTAGTATTCTTAAGACCCTACTCTTTCATGCCCTGCATCGGGAAGACGTTGACCACAATGATTTTGGCTTTGACCGCAACGATTTTCCGACCAACTTGGTCAAAAAGTTGTCGAATCTCGGAAATTTGCTGATTTTGCTGACTTTGGGTGGCCACTGAGTCCAATCTAGTCGCCTTAAAAGGCTTCCCTCGACGTCCTAGTATTCTTAAGACCCTACTCTTTCATGCCCTGCATCGGGAAGACGTTGACCACAACGATTTTGACTTTGACCGCAACGACTTTCCGACCAAGTTGGTCAAAAAGTAGTCGAATCTCGGAAATTTGCTGATTTTGCTGACTTTGGGCGGCCACTGTGTCTAATCTAGTTGCCGTAAAAGGCTTCCCTCGACGCCCTAGTATTCTTAAGACTCTACTCTTTCATGCCCTGCATCAGGAAGGCTATTGACCGCAACCAGTTTGGGAGCGGTGGCCTCACAAAGTAGGTCATGAAGGGTAAAAACATAATGATGATCGGGGGCCTTTTGCGGTCTTATCCGCTGGGGCCTTATTTTGCCGCACGCATATTGGCGGTTCGCGGCTTCCCGCCCCGAAACAACGGGGCCCGCGCTTCCCTCTCGGCTCCCGACCCGCCCTTGAGCAAATGCTTCCCTATTGAACGCGCTAATGCAGTGGCGTGGCCGCGTGTCGTAATCCCGCCGCGACATAACACGCGTCCCGGCCTGGGCGGCCTGGGCCTAGGTCGAGGCACAGTGTAGGCCGCGCTCACTCCGAACAGTCACTCCGTCTCTCTCGCACGCCCAGCGTGACCCGCATGGGAGAGAGAGAGAGAGAGAGAGAGAGAGAGAGAGAGAGAGAGAGAGAGGCTGCCGCGTCTCGGAATCGGCCTGCGACCCACAATTACGCCGTCCTGCTTATTATGAGCTCTGGTCCACCTGAGGTCGGCCAAGGCATGCCTACTGCCTGGCCGAGTGTGGAGCTGTTATTTATCTGGGGACGCACCGCGCTAAAGCCGTAGCAGTGCGGTCGGGTCGGGTCGCACCGGACGGCCTCAGCTACCGTGCGGCCACAACTAACGTGGCAAAAAACCACACGGCAAACCTAACCTAACCTAACCCAGATGTCACCGCTCAAACTGGCCTCGCGCGCGGACGAGGTTCCGCGAGTCGCCGCGAGATGGCGCTGCGCGCGCTGAGCCGCCGCACGCTCGCGGTGGAGACCTAGGTTAGCGTACTAACTAGTGTGTAAACAATTCGTCGTCATGAGTTCTCGCGTAATTAGAAATGATCGGCGTCGTGGTGTGGTTCTTCGATCGTCATTATGCTCAATTCCGTTTGCCGTGCACGCTTCCCGCTCCCTACCCCGCCCAGGGCGTTGCGACGCCTAGCGACGCCACCACCGCGAGGCACGCTCCAAACTCACTTCAGTTTACTTGGCTGCACTCAGCGAGACGGCCCGAGAGTAAACAGCAAGCCGCTCGTGCGAACGCGAGCTTGGTTAGGCAAGGTGGGCGGTGGTTTCGCGGTTCCACTTCTCGGACGCATTCGGGGAGGCCCCGGGGGGAACGCCAACGCCGTGCCGGCTAGGCAACTCGCCCACACCTCCGGCCCCGTGTTGCCTACCCAGCAGGCTGCTGGGCCGGGCCGGGCCGGGCGGCGCCCCGGGAGTGGAAATTAAAACTTGCGAGGAATCTCTTCGGGGCACACGCAGTTCCAAAAGGCCGCATCGCCCCGCCAACTCTGCGGATGAATTTCATATCTGATCGCGGAGTGCCGTGCCTTGCCGTGCCTTGCCGAGCCGAGCAGAGCCGAGCCAAGAAGCGCCGCATTCTGACAAAAGAGAATGCTCGTTATCAGGGGGCGTCGCGGCTTTTGAATCGGTTCCGCTCCGTCACAGAGAAGTGCTCGAAGTGGATGTGGCTCCGCGGTCGCTCCCGGAAGACACTGCTTTTCCAGTCGAGTGTCTGGGTGCCGCTTGGGCGGACAGGTTTTATGTCACTCGCTTCGACTTCTTCTTCTCCATCCAGTCTCGGACTAAAGGCTGCCCATTAACTGCAGCAAAGGGTATCCGTTTCAAATTGTCACTCGCCTTGATGGTGAAAGAATGAACGACAATGTTTGCCCGGGATGAGGAGAAGGCGGGGATTTTGAAGCGGTGCTGCTCTGAAAGCCTGCCCTCCATGCAAGTAGTGGCCCGTGTGTCTGTCTGCCCGACTGGGCGGGACTGGGCGCGACTCGGCGGGACTCTGCCCGACGAGGGCGGAAAACTTTGTGAATCTTCGAACGGCAGATGTTCCCCGGCAGGATTAGCCATACTGGGTCGCCTTATCTCGCCTTGAGCATTCGAAACGGCGAGCGGCCTCCCTTACATGGCCTTACAGCGCGCTTACAGACACTCAACGCTTTCTTAATCCTTCCTATGATTAAAACTTTTTATCTTCCGTTGAGCGCGGCACAGCCGCTTTGGCGCCATGGCATGGCCCCGGCACCACGCGAGAGCCCTCCTCTCTGACGTCGCCTTCCCTCCGCGTGGCCTATTGTGAGACAAACAAGTTTTGAAGCGGGCCAAAATGGTCGTTTTTAACAAATGATGGTGCATTAAAGACGATCAGCTTCCAAGCCACTGTGTTTTCCACATTCCTCATTTAGATTTGATCCTTTTCCGGAGCCGGAACAAAACGAACTATCTACATGGCACTCATTCACTTCGAGGCATGCACCACCGATTGTCCTGAAATCGAAGAGCAAACTTTTTTATTTGGCCTCCGGCAAGCCTCAGGCATTCATGGCCGTGCCGCGGATCCCCGCGTATATTAAACGGCATACGCCCTGGTCCTTCCCCGCGCCGTGCCGCGCCGTGCCGCACCGCACTGTTTGCCCGAGGCGTTGAAGAGACCCTAAACCGACGGGCAACGACGCCTCGGCGTCTGGTAAGGCTCCTGCAGATAGGACACGCCGCGGCGTCCCTCCGCCCCGCCTGCCCCACGGCCTCCGCCGCCTTGGCCGAGCCTCGCCGCGCTCCGCAGCGCCCCGCATCCCCGCGGAGGACAGCTAGTTTTAAAACACTCCGCCTCAAAAATACGGTGCCGGGCCCGCGAGTAAAATTAATCCCCTGGAATAGGTTATCCGCGGGGCGCCGCACAGTGGGCCAGAAGACCGGTGGAGGCGGCCAAAACCCTGGACGCGTTTGGAGCTCCAGAGTAGCTGAACAGGCCTCGAACCGAGCGTGTGACCCCACCAATGGATTCCTCGGTCGGAGAGCAATCCATCGGTGGGGTCACACGTTCGGTTTCGTGACTCTGGAGATCAAAACGCGTCTAGAGTTTCGGCCGCCTCCACCGGTCTTCTGGCCCACTGTGCGCCTTTTGCGGGGGCGCGCACCGTGATGAACCTCGAGGCCGTCTCTCTCGCGCCCGCGAGCGCAACAGAGACGGAGCGACACGAGACCAGGCTGCATGCGGTGTCTGTAGTCAGACTCACCAGACTGCGAAAAGGAAAACATCAATCGCGGTCAAAGAACGTTTATTTGAGACCCGTCGCGGTCCGCCACAGGATGGCCGCCGGGACAGACAGAAACGGGTTTTTCTTTTTCTTTTTCCTCCGCCCGCGGCGTGCCGCCAAGAAGATGGGCAGCGAGAGTTCCACTCCGATCGTAATGTTTCGGTGACTCTATTTAAACAGAGCCCCTGTGTAACTCGCCGGCCTGGGCCCAGGCCCGGGCCGTCCTTTGCTCGGGGTGGTGCAGGCGGGCGCACGCGGGCGCTGGGCTCCTCGGAGATAGCCTTGGCGCAAACAGCCTGACGTGCCGCAGCCCCGGCCGGCCGGCCTGCCCTGGGCCTGCCCTGGGCCTCGGCTTGCAGGGCACGGCGGGGCACGGCGGGGCACCATGGAGCGCAGCGCTGCCCGCCAAGATAACGGCCAAGCCGCCCACGGCAGGGCCCGGGCCGCCGGGCCGGGTTGCAGGGCGTTAAACATTTTAAAGTATGATTATAATGAAAGTTGTTGGCAAAGCTCGGGCTGTTGCTTACCTGGCCGCAAAGGCGGCGGCCGGGCCGGGCCCCTCGCAGCGCGCTTTGTGCGGCGTTTTGCGCGGCGCGCTAAAGGGAAGGACAACTTTTGAAGGACGCAAACACGACTGCAGCCCTCTGCAGGCAAGATTTATGCATCGTCAGGGTTTCTGCTCGGAGCGGCCAACATGGCACAAATTTCTTCTCTCTTTCTCTCTCACACGCACAAGCGCGTTTTTCACACGCCAGCCACCTCGCGGATGTATCTGCGTATCTCGGGGTTGGCCACGTTGGTGTAGATGCCGGGGAAGCCGGAGCGGCCGCAGCCGTAGCCCCAGGACACGACGCCGATGAGCCTCCGGTCCTGCGTGATGAGCGGGCCTCCCGAGTCGCCCTGGAAGGACCAAGAAGGCACACCTTACCAACACTCTAAGCCTAAAAGAAGTCTTGGAAATTTACGAAAAACTTGGGGAAAATTCCCACCGATCCTCGGAACATTTCAGGCGTCTGACCTGGCACGAGTCCTTGCCGTCGCCAGTCCCGCCGGCGCAGATCATCCGCTTGGAGATCTTGTTGCCGCCGTGCACGGTGTAGTTGTGGTTGCAGGCCTCCCTGTCCACCACGGGTACGTCCACCGAGTGCAGCACCCACGGCGTGAACAGCGCCCGCTCCTACAAGCAGACTCTTACACAACACACCGATTCCCGATGACAGCGGCAGTCGGCGGCAGTGCCCAGATGTTCACATGTTCCAAAAATACCGACCGGGAAGCTGGTCTACTTACGCTTGTCATGCCCCAGCCAGAAACTGTCACGACGGACCCCACTTTGAGGATGGCGTTCTCGTCGGCCAGTTTGATCGGCGAAATGCGATTCGAAAAGGCAAACGGCTTTTCAACCTAAACCGAAAAAAAAAATAGAAAGTAGCTGTTTGTTGGTGGAGGACGAGGGTTTTGATTGGGAGAGAAAAGGACGCTACTTGCTTTGATGAGCCCCACGTCGTAGTCGGTCGTTGTCTTGTTCCAGAGCGGGTGGTGCTCCATGAACTCGATGGCGTGCATAATGCCCCCGATGCCCAGGAAGCCCGACGTGGACCCCGCGCGCAGACGCACGAACCACGGCGGCCTGGGCAGACACACTGCTGTTTAGCGACTGTGGAGCTAAAAACGCGTCTAGAGTTTTGGCCGCCTCCACCGGTCTTCTGGCCCACTGTGCAGTGCAAGCTGAATATCTTACTCTCTCGGCATCCCCTGCACGCAGTGGGCGGCCGTCAACGCGTAGTTCTCATTGATGACCGAGGCCCCGCACGAATGCATGAAGAACACCTCCAACGAAAGCTGCAACGCGAAAAAGCCAAACATGTAGAGCAGGACTTGGTTGGCGCGGACTTGGCGCTCAGAGAGACGGTGTCGTCACCTGATGAGAAAAGTCCTTGATGTCTGCATTGTTCCCACCGACTATCCGTTCTCCGACGGGCTGAGCGACTGCAGGACACAAATTGTTAGGTTAGGTTAGGTTAGGTCCACTGTGGGCCGCAGGAACTACTCTCGGGTACTCCCGTTTCCTTACTCGCCAGGTCAGCGCCGAGGGCCATGACGGCCAGCATGCAGGAGGCCAGGACGGAACTGGAGGCCAGGGCGGCCATGGTGCGGGCTGAGCATCTCGACGGCGTGGCGGTCGCGGCGCGAGTGACCAGAGTGACGCTGTGCTTGGCGTGCTTGACGGACCGACCAATGGCAAGCCGCGGCGTAGCCTGCACTGCCGCGCCGACGTGCTGCTCCAGCGGGCCGCGGTCCAGCAGTGACATTCCGAGCACCGCTGCCGTCGCTGCGTCTCTCTCGCGGGCCGGCCCGCAGCGCTGCGAGTGCGAGAGAGACGCAGCGAGTCCGACCGTCGATCTGGCCGATAAGCGCACGCCATTGGGAGGCGGGGATACGTCACGGCCTCGCCTAACGAGTCATTCCTTGCGCCGTTACACTGTAAGGATCCATTTTCTGGCTGCACCGACGAACGCCTGCCGCTCTCTTACTGGCCGAAGTCTGCGTTTCGACCGACTTTTTCCGAGAACTGAGAGAGAGGCATTCTAAGCATCGCCGCGAAGACGTGAGAGCACTCGATGCGGTGCTGATGGACATCGAAAATCAATCATGCTAAAATTGTTTTCGTTTGCCTGCACTGAAAAAAAGTGGCTTTTGGCGCGACTGGGCGAGATGGCCGCGACCAGACGCGACCTTCCGCCATCGCATGCACAGCCGCGCCGCGTCACGCAAAGCACGCGAAGCGCAAAAAAAAAGTGGTAACATGTAAGAAATTCTAAAACGCCAGACCAGCACCACAAAGCCCGTCTGTCCTCTCCGTCCTACGGCTCTGTCTCTCTCGCGCTCAAGGGACGTTCCGTATTGGTGCGAGAGAGACAGAGCGACGAGAGCGTTGTCCGGAATGGCACGGCCCGCGGTGCGACGACCCAAGGGCCCCGCCGGTCGCACTCCGCATCCCAAGTCGCTTCGCTTGGCCTCGCCTCGCCGGCCTCCCCGTCCGAGTCTCCGAGTGGCCGTCATTTCCCGAACCGGAAACGAAGGCTGTCACACAGTATCAGCCCGACGGTCGAAAACAAGCGCGGCGCGCACGCGGCAAGCATTCCATGATATCCGATTTTTCCTTTTTCCGCACGGCTAGCGACGATAACCATGCCGTCGGCAACTAGCCGCGCGCTCCGCCTCGCAGGGCAGGACGACGGCACACCGCACTGGCAGGGGAGGGCGGCCAGGGCGGGCCAGGGCGCCGGGTGCTGTGCTGCCTCCACGAGGTGGACCAGGCTGCCGTTCACCTGATGGCCACTCATGGCCACTCACGAGCACGCGGCGCGGCGCGCTGCAGCCTCGACGCCCCCCCCCCTCTCTCTCTCTCTCTCTCTCTCTCTCTCTCTCTCTCTCACTCACGGGCCGAGCCGCGGGCGAGCGAGAGAGGCAGCGACAGGCCGGGGGGCAGCCCAGGGGCAGCCGGTCGTCCGGCAAATGTAAAATGGCCCTGTGCGCGGCGCGGGGCGCGGGGCGCGCTGCGACTGGGGGCCGGGGACTCCGTCTCCGGGGGCGCCGTCGTGCGGAATGATGACTTCTGCGATCCCGATAAGCGGATACTCTAGCATGATGGAATCGAATATTTTCGAGAAATAAATATGTGGCGGGCGTACGCGGCTATCGGCAAGACGGCCGTCACTTGCAGCGTGCTTGCAGGCCGCCCAGCCGGCGGACTCGTCGCGGAGGGGAGCCCCGCGAGACAAGCCCACAACCCTTCCGTGATGCTAGGCTGCCGCACAGTGGGCCAGAAGAACGGTGGAGGCGGCCAAAAACCCCGGACGCGTTTTGAGCTCCAGAGTCGCTGAATGGGACTCGAACCGAGCGTGTGACCCCACCAATGGATTGCTCTTTGAACGAGGAATCCATTGGTGGGGTCACACGTTCGGTTCGAGTCCCATTTAGAGACTCTGGAGCTCAAAACGCGTCTAGAGTTTTGGCCGCCTGCACCGGTCCGCTGGCCTACTGTGGGCCGCAGGAACTACTCTCGGGTACGGATTACCCGACGCGCAGCGGCCGGACAGCGGCGGCGAGCTTAGCGGACAAAAAACGAATTCGGATCTCGTTAGCAAAATAAAAATGGCAGCCGCGGGGATGGCAGGCTCATTAACCGTTGTCGCCCTAACGAGACGGAGTCCTCCAGGTGGCTGCGTCCGAGCGGCGCTAGCCGTCACCCTCGCGCCCCAGCGGCCTGTGGGGCCGCGCCTAGCCGCGCCGTGAGTGCGAGAGAGACGGCGCGAGGCTATGCTCCGCCTGCAGGGCGACTTCAAAGGGCCCCTCCGTCGACTCTTCAACACACGCGTCTCCGTGCACCCGGCCTACACGTGTAGCGTAGCCCCGCTGTTAAATTGGGGATGGCCAACTTGTTTTATTCGGGGAAGCACAGTGGAGTAACGACTTGTGGAAATAACGGCTCGGCCTGGGCGAAATCAATGAGGTGGCGGTGCACACGCAGGCCTCTCATTCTGCTTTCTGTCTCTCTCGCACCGCCGCCGGACGTCCCGTGAGTGCGAGAGAGACAGAGCGGCAGGTCTAATAAGGAATCAGGCGGGGAAGGGCGGCAGGTTAACGACGCGTTTACGGCCCCGGCCCTTTAATTGCATCAACATTATCTGAGCCCCCTCGACTCGGCCCCGAGCAGTGTGCCGGCAGGGAGCTAGCGACGGCTCGGGTCGCTGCGTTTGAAGGTAGCCGCGCTGTCTGCTCCGACACAAAGCGGATTGCAGCCACGCGCGTCTCCGCTTCAACTTCCTCGATTTTCGGTCGGGGTTCCGTTTTGTTCGTCGTTTCATTTCGTCGTGTTTGCGGTTCGTTCAGTAGACATCCGTCCAGGCTTAATCCGAGGGGCAGAAAGCAATGATGAGCCCAGGCGCGGGGGGCTTTTTGTCATTTTGATCTCGGGAGCACTAGCGTCCTCCCTCATCATCTCCGGGACACGGTTCTCAGAATAATTGAGCACCGCGTCGGCCCTGCCCGGCCAAGGGCGCCAAGGGCCCGGTCGAGGGCGGGCTGCAAACTATTGGCGGCCATCAATCATGGAATCGCTCCTCTCCTCCAACTTTGGCGCTGCACCGACGGGCTGCCAAGGCGCGGCCCAGGAGCGGCCAAGGCCCGCCGTTGTTCGCCCTCTAGGCCAGCTGATCACAATATCGGCATGGGACTGCCAGGCCGGGGTGCGGGGCGCGAGGCTTGCGAGGTGCGAGGTGGGGAGCATCTCCACTAATTGGTCTATTCCCACCGTCATTACGACTTTCCGTCAATGGCCTTCCCGGCGAGCTGGCAGCCCATGTTAAATTCATGCCAAGAGGCTGTTCGTTCCCGCGCCCCTGCAGGCCCTGCAGGCCGACCCCGAAGAGTGCGCCGCCTCTCCGTCGCTCCCCCGCGGAGGGCCGCGTGAGTGCGAGAGAGACGGGGAGACTCCGTTCGGCGTCAGACGGCTGCCAGTGGCAGATCAAAGGGGGGAGGGGCCTGGAAGGCAAAGTCGTTTATCCAGACAGGTGCGTTCCGTTCGGCCGCTCCGAGCTTCGGCCTTTCGGCCCGTTGTGCTCGGCGAATAGATTAACCAGACATGACATGGCAGTGGAGCGGAGTGGAAGCCAAGACGCATCGCAAACGCTCCGCCTTTCCTCGCCGGAGTTTTCTGCCGTTTCCGTTGAACCTAACCTAACCTAACCTAACGCTTGCAGCGGGCCACTGCAGGTCCTGCCGCGTGCATGCGCAGTGCAATGGGTATTCGCAGCGCTGGACGCACAGCCCACGCTGCACGTAGCCGTAGGAAGCACTGGCAAAGGGCTGCGCTGTACTTGGCTGTCTGAGCCCTCCACATTTCCGGGTCGGAGTTCCCTCGGCGCGAGCGAACAAGAGGCATGCTTGACGGCACGGCGTCACGGCTGACGGGGGCCTTGGTCGTGTCGGCGGGGACGGGGCGCGGCCGGCCCGGCCAGCACTGAGTACCAGACCGTTAATCACAAACTCAAGACAAACAGAACAGCGCTCTCCCGGCTCTCCCGGCTCTCCCAGGTCGCCCCGCTGAGAGTCCGCAGAGCGACAACACTGTCCCCTCGGTCCCCCCCCCCCTCCCCCACCAACGTTCGTTCGTTTGTTAATGAAAGCAGATGATCCGTCGCGTTTCACAACTGCTGTGATAGCCGAGAGGTTAGAGACGAGGGATCGAGTTACCGCAGGCGGGCGTTCGAATACCAGCGTCACAAAAGTTTTTTCGATTTACTATCCGAAGGGTGGTGGTTCGAGGCCATCCGAGCGGAGCCGTGTGCAACAGACCCACATGCCGGAGGTTCGACTCCTAACAAATATTTCCAATTAATTTTACTGCCTCACACAGTGCGGTTGAAACCCGTAAACGTGAGCCCACTCTGAGCATGGGACGTGGTGGTCCAGGGAGTAGAGGCGTCGGTTCTCAGTGCTAGGGTCGGCGGTTCGACTCCCCCAACTTCTTGCGAAATTTTGACCGGGTCAGTCGAGTCCTGTTGCGTCAAGAACCCACCTCACGCCGGTCCCCTCATCATGGGCCGTGGTGGCCGAGAGCGTAAAGTCGTGTGATCCCGGTGGCGGGGTCCGGGGATCGAATCTCATCATTTCGTTACATTTTTCGACTGCCTTCCTCCCACTGCAACTCAAACCCGTCGTCCAACACGCTGTCAGACGTACAAGCGTGATAGCGTAGTGGTCAGAGTCACATTCACCTGGCCACTCCGCTGTGGGTGTCTAAAAAGCAATCCGCTTCGGCGGGTTGGCCTCGGCACTGGAGCGATGGCGTATTTGATCCATCAATCCAGACCATCCGGTGTGTGGTTGCGGGTGGTGCCTCCTCGACTCGTCGGGGAGGCGATGATAAGTCCTTTGAAGCTGGCCTAAAACGCTGTATGTTCGGTACGGGAGCGCCGGACAGTGGGGGTACCATGGGGTACACAACCAACCCTACGAAAACAAGAAGCTCCCACCAAACCTCTTCTCTGTCTGAGTCTCTCTCTGTCTCTCTGTCGTCTCACTCTACGTCCCGCCCCTCAAAGAGCTTCGTACTGGGTGCTCTCACCCAGCTGCCTGAGCTTTGGGGTCCTACTGGGTCCCCCGGCGAACGCTTGGGTCGCTGACGGGATTAACCCCAGGTACCTGATAGCACCGGTTCCCATCCCGAACACCGAAGTAAAGCAGGAGGCCTCCCCATTAAGACTGGGGAGGGGGTGTAGAGTTCA